TCTTTCTTTCTTTCTTTCTTTCTTTCTTTCTTTCTTTCTTTCTTTCTTTCTTTCTTTCTTTCTTTCTTATATCAGGAATCAAACTCAGGACCTTGCACTTGCCAGGCAGGCACAACACCACTGGGCTGCATTCCTGGCTCTGTCTCATTTCTATTAGACAAATCAAACTACACTATAGAAAAACTAATCTGTGTTAAAAACCATCAGAAAAATGATAAATTAATTCCTTATAATGGAGATTGAATTTCAACCCATAAAGCATTTGATAGACACTCAAATCAGATCCTAAATGCCTTGATAAGAAAACCAAACTTTATTTCTTCTTAGATCTCTGTTAGGGATTCTACTCACGGTCTTCCGCTTAATCTTGAAATGAGGGAATGAAGGTGTGCAGGTGTTCAAGTGTTCTTTCCCCATCCTGTCTGGAAGATTTCCACTGCTTATTTGTGACACACTCACTGTTCTTACATCCTTCACAGTTCCAAGGATCAGCCACTAATGTATTTATTCCTGCAGACTCCAAGGGAATATCCAGTAGATTAAAGGAGAAGCAAAGGGCTGGTCATGGCGGTACACACCTGTAATCCTAGCACTCTGGGAGGCTGAGGCAGGAGGATCACAATTTTGAGTCCAGCCTGGGCAACTTAACAACTTAGTGAGACCCTGACTCAAAATAAAAAAGGATTGGTGCTGTATTTCAGTGCAGAGGCCTCAGGTTCAATCCCCAGTACCACAAAAGACAAGAGAAAGAGAACAAGGGAAAAAAGGTCACCACATACTTGCTCTTCACAGTTTACAAGGAAGAGAATGCGGTCCCAGATCTTATACCTCAAAAACAAACAAAACACAACTATAATCGGGAAAGAAAGAAAAACTTGGAAGTTCCCTCCTCTGAGATTTGAGTCTTGGCAAGATAACTCCATGATTGTCATTCACTTGAATGCTGTATTATCCTGCACATGCATTTCCAGTAAAACCACTCAAAACCTAAAAGCCAGTGTTGATTTTGCCTTACTGGCTCTTACACACAATTCCCATCATGGATTTGCCCTTCTCTGTTCTAATTGGAGATTAGCCTACTGTGCATGCCTCTCTCATGGAGAGTAAAACAAAAAGATGGCCCTTTTTAGGACCTTAGCTGTTTATTCTAAGAATTAATAGCTGTGATTACTATCAGCAATTCAATATTGTATGATATATATATATATATATGTATATATTCATAGTATGTAAACATAAAACTACTTTACATCTTTTATACTTTATCCATACATTATTTTATTTAATGTGGGTGGGGCGGTTACTCTGAATTCTATTTTAAAGATGAATGAATGGAGGCACACATTGATCAAACACTTGCCCAAAGTTACACAGCTGTTAAATGCCAGCTGAGGATCCAGAACCGAGTTACAGCAAAGCTT